GGCCCTAAGTCTTGAAAGAAAGTACTGCGTTCTAAGACTGAGGTCTGCCATTTAACAACATGAAAAACAAGAAAAAGTTTCAGCTTATTTTTTATTCTTTTTATTAAGATCATGCAAGCATGAAAATAAAAACCGTCCACAGATCCAACAGGTAGCTCTCTGATGCAGGGATGGGAACTTTCTTCCACTTTTTCCCCAAATCCTAAAAATATAAATCGCACCTAGCAACGCTGATGACGGAGGATGTTGGATTTCAGGGTTAGAGAGCGCTGCTCTGATGGATGTCAGTTCCTCATGACTCAATCAACTCCTCCCAAAGGGAACACGTCCACCATAGAGAGATTCCTTTATCCTGTTTCTATAATTTCATCAATGCAACAAAACTTAAACCGCGCTGTGAAGCTGCGTGCGGTAAGAGCGTTCACTGCTCCTCCCTCACCTCATGCTACTGTGTGACGTTTGCTCCAGGATAAACATTTAATCATGAATGCTTATATTATATATTTAAGCCCACATAGTCCTGTTCTATATTAGAATAATAAACTTAGAGCCAGTGTTGCCTAACGAAGAACATATAAGACTTTAATTTTTTAGGCTCCTGAAGGATTTATTTTTTTTTATCCAATATGGCTCTTAGAGCAGTCTGGGTTGCTGACTCCTGGGTTAGAGCATTAGAGCTTAGAATCCTGAGGTTCTGAGTTCGAGCCCTATTCCCACCGACTGCCACTCTGTGTCTCTGAGCAAGACTCTTAACCTCCACCCTGCTCCCTGGGCGCCCCACAATGGCAGCCCACTGCTCCCCAAGGGGATGGGTTAAATGCAGAGGTAAATTTCTCCAATGTGAGATCAATAAAGTTGTATTATTATTATTATTGTTAATATTATGAAATCTTTTTTTGGCATCATCTGCTCTATATCAACATTGAAATCCTATATCGACTGAAATTAAGAACCCTAGAGGGCGTCTATGACATAAAGTCAACAAGTTTTCACGTCATTGTTTTTGTTATTAACATTTCTGCACAATTTTCTGACGGTCTGAATGATTTTTATTGTGAAATTTAACAGAATTACAGAGGAAATCCCTCTGTGTGCAACTTTTTTCTCATTCTTATGATGCATCAGTTAAACCTCTCACTGCTGCCTCCTGCTTAGTTTTATGTTTATTTTCTGACCGTCTGGCTCTATTCGCAGTCGTTCTACCTGGCGATGAGCCTCCAGAACATGAACCAGATGCGGCTGGTGCCTAAGAAGGACTACGTGGCCAACCGGCTGGTGAGCGGAGCTCTGCAGCTGGCCAGAAACACTTCCCTCTTCCTGGATGAAACTCAGCTGGAGCAGGGACAGCTGGACGCCACGGGTGAGGCTTATAGGAACCACCAGAGGGCGACGCTACTGTCTGTTTTATGTCTGAACCCTCCTGATTGTTTATCCCCTCTCCCTCTGTGCTGTAGGTGTGCGTAACGTTACGGCCCTGGGGAACCTGATCTCCTGGCAGAAGGTTGATTATGACTTTAACTACCACCAGATGGAATTCCCCTGCAATATTAACGTGCTCGTCGCCTCAGAAGGCCGCTCGCTGCTGCCGGTAAGAACAAAGAGGGAATAAGGCGAGTTCCTCCCACACACCTTTAAATCAACCTGGGAAGGTTTAGGTTTCCTAAACAGGTTGTTTCCAGCCGCCTTCGATTATTGGTCAGCTGCAGCGAGCCCCTTCATCCCGCGGCTTCAGCCGGAGGAATGCGGCGGGTGCTATTCCTGTACGCCGCTCTAATCTGTTACCATGGTGGCAGCTGTGTGCGGCAGGAACAATCGGGGTCTCACTGCCGCGTCGGAACCCGTAGGGACTTTCTGAGCGAGTCTCCATCGAGTTAAACTGTAAATCGGACATTCCTGGAGCCGCTTTACTTCGTTAGAGGTGGGAATGTCCAGATCTTCACATCAGAGGCGTTCTGCTGTTAATTTGGATTAATTTCTGAATATGGATTTCAACTTTTCTTAGTTAAGCAATAAAAACTGTGATGAATTTTAGGAAGAAAGTGGAAACAAGAGTTTGAGTTAATTATGGATTTTCCCTTTCTTTTTTTTTCTATTATTTTTCATTTAGAATAGAAAATAGAATAGAAAATCCCTTTATTGTCCCACAATGGGAAAAATTACCAGCAAAAAGATTATAGAAAAAAATGTTTC